CCCGGGCCCACGGGTCCCAGGCTGGCCCTCTCATCACCACTGTCTCTCCAACATGCCTGTGACCCCTGACACTCAGGACAATGCCTCAGTCATGCAGGCGGTAATCACTGCAGGGCTCTGTCCACAACACCACTTACTAAGAGGAACACATTTCAAGAAAGGAATAGATTCATAACCTTCCCGGATCTCAGAAGGGCTGGATAAGATTGTTGATGTGCTACTGAAAAGCAATATTTTAGGTATGTGCTTTGTTTTGATACCTCCTTGGTGAATTACATGTTTTACAAAATCCTCTTCATCTGACATGCTAGTTTAACCATGTTTTCCTGATAATGAAACCAGATGAGCTATTTCCTTTGCCTTCATAATTTCAAAGGACTCTAACTGTGAATACTGATAAAATGGTGTAGTATCACTGTCCGAGATCCTGGTCATCTGTCTGCTAATCCATTTATTAAAAACTCAACACACTTACAGGAAATTCTGGGAGATAGAATGTTAATATGCCAGGGCACAGAAAACTACATAGGATTACTTTTACAGAAGGTCATTGCGAGAATAGTTTGACAACTGTCTAGTGACAGTGAGGTATTCTAACTATGCTCCCCATGACGAGTCAGAGCACAAACTCAGGATTTTAGCTCCCTTTGCTAATATCTAATGATAATAAAAACCTCCACTGATGAGAGCAGTTCAGCAAATAATAAAGTCTCCTGCCTCTTCCAAGAAAAATGATGAAAATGTGAATAAATATAAAGTCAACTTATCAGAAGTGTTTTAAAATCACAGCTATTAGAGTCAGGAGCACTCTCAAAAGATGACTTCACTCCGTTGGTTGGCTTTATGCCGATAAGGTACTTCTCCACCCCATGGGAGCACAGTTGGCCCCGGGCGGTTACGGGGCAGGCCTCTGGGCACAGAGCACCAGGAAAGCAACGTGAAGTTGGATTTCAGTTTCCAGTATCCTCATCCAGGCCCCTTTCCACGGCACCAAGTTGCTTCTCTGCTAACAATCATTCTGCTGGGAGCACGAGCAGTCATTCCTCTACTCATGTGACATTTTTTGAGCACATGCTGTTTGCCAGGCATACGCTACACAGTAAGAATACAGAAAGAAAACAAGACACAGTCTCAGCACTCGCACAGCTCACGGTCCAGCAAGGAAAAAGCCAACACACACAACGAGCTACAGGGTAACTGCACAGCAATATCAGCCAAGGGCTTTGGGAACCTAGGAGCGGGGGATAAATTCCGCCAAGAGGGGAGAAGAAGGTTTCACAGGGGGGTTGAGCCCCGAAGGCTGGGGGGGCGGGGGGGGGGTGTTCCAGAAGGAACAAGGAGAACAAAGGCATGGACGTGAAGAGCACACTGGAGAAGCAGCAAGCAGGAAGGACACTCCCCATCAGAAACGAAACAGCCTCTGGCTCTCCACCCACTACAACGAGGCAGCGTCCCACAGCCGTGCTCAGCTGCCCCTGCAGCCCGCATGCCTTCCAGAGGGCACCCCCCTGCTCGCCTGCCGTTCCCCATGCCATGTCCTGCCCAGAGCCCTTCCCTCCTCCCCTACACCGACTCCCCCCATCCTTGTGGCTGCGTCTCCAGTGTTACCCCTTCTTCACACTCCCACAAACTGCTCATTATTCCTTCCTTCAGGCTCCAATTGTCTCTCTTGCTAGACAGTATTTTAATTATTTGTTTACATGCATGTCTATCTCCGGAACAAGTCTGTGACAGCCTCAAAGACAGCCGGCCTTTACATGATTGTGCATCTGATAAACATATGAACGAATGAATGAATGGCAACTTCTATGGGAAGCTCGGTGCTGAGGATGCCAGAGACCTGACGAGCACAGCACTGAAGAGCACAGAGTCCAAGAAGGGAAACAGACAGGCACATCCATCACTCACAAGTGGAAGAATAATGTTCAGAATTGAAACCCCCAGGGAAACATTTGCTCTCAGATGAAGTCCTAAGTGTGATCCAAAGATTTTCACATACAACTGCATTTGCATTGACTTAAAACTCCACCCAGACAGAGTCACAAGCTCAGATCGCTGCCTTGTATCATTCTTAGAGCTCGTGAAGGGTGGCCTGAAAAGGTTTCTCTTTAGGTATAATAGAGTCCCAGTAAACAGAGGTGCCTTGGGGAGAAAATGGCTGTCTGGTCTCTCTCATCATTGGGCATGTAATCCATTATAAAGGTGTTAAATTCATTGCTAAGTGTGAAAATGAGAGGAAATGAGTCTACTGACAAAAAATGCAATGAGACAGTCAACTGGAATTACTGCCTCACAAATCGTCAGCTTCTCAGCCTCACTGTCTCAATTTGTCTTACTCGTGAATTATCAGAGTGAAGCACAGCCACCAGTCAGAACAAGAAAGCTTCTATTAAACCTCACTGTGCACCTAAGTGCCTGAAGACGTGGCCTCTCCTTTGGCCTCATGAGCTGCTCAAGCTACGTACTCAACTCCAGGATTCGAGAAATACCTCAAAGCACGCCCTGGTGTCAGCAGATGCGTTATTAAACTGTCTGTCACTCAAGTCTCAATACCAAAAATTACCTAGGTCACCCAATTCTTCACACCACCCCCTTTTCTTTGCAGTGTAATAGCAGAAGCTATAGGTCTGGAATTGCTATTCATAATAATTCCAAAACCTTGGCTGTTTCTGGGATGTCTTTGTGTTAGTGGAAAAGCAGCTACAACCTAACAGGCCAAGTGCGTCACCCAGTAACGGACGATTCACAGGTGACAGGTGGTGCATTAGTTCGCTCAGGCTGCCATAACACAGTATAGCACAGACCGGGGAGCTTAAACAACAGAAATTCATTTTCTCACCGTTTGGAGGCCAGAAGTTCAAGGTCAATGTGCCACCAGGGCTGGTGTCTAGTGAGGCCTTCCTTCCTGGCTGGCAGAGGGTTGCTGTCTCACTATGTCTCCACACGGCCTTTCCTCCGGTGTCACTCCTGGTGCCTCTTCCTCTTCTTACAAGGACACCCGCCCTTTGGGACTGGGACTCCGCCCTTACGACCTCGTTTCACCTTGATCACCTCCTTAAAGGAGCTTTCTTCAAACACAAACACTTCACATCAGAGGGGAGGACTTCAACGTATGAATTTTGAGGGACACGATTCAATCCATAACGGATGGATGGATGGATAGACAGACAGACAGATGGACAGACAGATAGAGAAAAGAAAGAACAGAATGGGAGGAAGGGAGGAAGAAAATGAGGCAGGAAGGGGAAAGGAGAAAGGAAATCACTAACTTGCTAAGGAGGTAGGATTAAGATCAGCCTTAAATGTGCAGGAAGTAAGCCATTGCCTGTGTGGTTAAAAACTGAAAAATTAGAAAAAGCTCCAAAATGCTGCAGTTCTCTCTCTCTCTCTCTCTCTCTCTCTCTCTCTCTCTCTCTCTCTCACACACACACACACACACACACACACACACACACACACAGGCCACCATGCCTGAAGTTTTACATAATCAAACATTCCACAAATATTTATTGAGCAGGAGCTTTGTGGCCGGCACTGAGCGAGGTGTAAGGGAACATGTTAACTGAATCCCTGGCCGAGATGCTTATATTCTAACACGAAAGAAAGAATCTCTACATTAAAAAGTTGTACTTAGCCTTTACTGCAGAAAGGATCACTTGGACTTTTTAAAAATAGATACCCCATAATCAAATCTTCTGAAACTAAATAGCCTGAGGGGAGCCCTGGGCATCTATATATCTTTCTTAAAAATCTCTCCCAGCGACTCTGAAAGGCAGCCAATGTGGAAAACCAATTCATTCTACTGAGATAAACACCGGTCTTTCCTTCTCATCAGCAGCGCCTCTGGAAGATAATACGGGCGATCCTATGCCTCAGTGTGAATGAACTCACTAGGTGGCTCGTAATAAACGGTCCAGGACAATATGAGACCCCCGGGCAAGAGCAGACAGGAGGGATTGAAGACAGTGCGTATGAAGCTTGCTGGCAGGCACAACATTGCTTTGTAAATGTGAGAGGTTATTTCACAGTAGGCCACTCTGTTCTAGGACAACCATTCCATCTGAAGTGCTTCAAATACTGAACCAATACGTGTTTTTCTGTAACTTTCTTCCAAGGTTTCTAGTTGTACATTTTTCACTCCCTGTCTTCTCTACAAGTTCTCAGGGGAAGACTCCCCAATGTCTCAGGTGTGTGATCACAGCCCTCTGGGGACCCTGGCTCGCTAGGCTTGGCCGCATAAGCAGGCGGGGGGTCTGGGGTGAGTCCCGCTGCCATTACCCTGGGTGTCACGGGTTAGGAGCCCAGGGCAGCCGTGTGTCTGCTCCCCACTCCACCCACCAGTCCAGTCCATTCACATGGATTTCTGTCCGGGTGTCCTGGTCTCTACAGAGCTCTCAATGGAACCCCAGGCTGCTCAGTTGGGGCACTGACACTCTGCCCAGCCACTGCCACACGAACACTCTAAGCCTGGCTTCCATCCTGTGTGCATCTGGTCAGAGGCTTGGGCTACTTACTTTTGTCACACCCAAGCTGCTATCTGAACTCCTTGCTTAGATTGTTGATTCTTAACTGAAATGGTTCTGCCTCCAATGGGGTGTCTGGAAATTGCTGCCAGTGTGTTTGATTGTCACGATAGAAGCTGCTTCCTCCTACCCTACAACATCACTCCGCTTTTACTGGCATTTAGACTGTAGGTACCAATGAACACAGAAATCCAACAATGCACTGGTGATCCCACACAAGGATCAATTATACCGTATCCCTCTGGACATTCATACAGAAGAAAAAACCTCTTTGATGTTATCTGAGCCTAGATGCTAACTTGGTTTTATAATCTCCAAGTAGAGCGTGGTTGCCAGATTTAATAGGCAACAAATTACCCAGAACAGCCTCGAGCCTATAAATCAAGGGAGACTGTACCATCAAGTTGGGAACTTGACCAACAATTGTCCGTTATTGTGAAAATCACTCCGCCAATAACATGGTGACCTTTTTGGTACCTGAGTCACAAGTAGGAAGCTCCTGTGGCAAATCTGCGTTTGTGGCTCCCACGTGGGTGTAAGCATGTGGCTGCTGCATTACATTCGTCAGCGTCGCCAGGCCCACGAACTCACCTGTTGAAACACACATGATGTTATTTTTAATTGCTTTCCATCTGCCAGCACTTTATATTAAAATTAGGGCATCGTACTATTTCTCTGTGTGAAATTGTGTACAAGTATGTGGATAGATTTTCTCACCTATGAGTTACATTATCTTTGAGAGTGGAGCGGGAGTTACCCAATATTTGTTCAAAAGAGGAGCTGTTCGGGCTGATGGGTGTGAGATGTAAGGGTTAGCCTTTTCCAGGGCCCAGTGACAGTTGCAATCAAGCCTGAGGGACTGTGACACACCCTTTGAAGGCTCAGCCCATACAGTGACACCAGTTCCCGCAATCACGCTCCCAACACAGCAGCCTCCACGCCCAGCACGTCCCAGGACGCCAGACAACCAAAGCCACCCATTCACAGACACTGTTCTGTAATGCAGAAACCAACTCTGAAAGTTCCTTTTGTAACACACGTGAATTCAAGGCCAGGTTCATATGAACAACAGCAGCATCTGCGAGTTTGGTAATTATTTTTAAAACCTGTATGCATTCACGCTTTCCCAGGTTCTGATTTTATCTGATAGTCACAACCAGCTGTGAGACGGCAGGGAAAGGTGTGTGTTTCTGTCTCTGCTGAATAACAGAGGATCCTGAGGCCTGAGAGGCTGACTGGCTCCAAGTCACACATGTACCAATGGGGCTCATGTCTATACCTTCAGAAGACGCCAGAAGGTGTGCTCCTTTCACTTACAGAACATTGCCTCTCAGGTGAGACAGGTAGACACGTAGACAAGACGAGGAAAAAAAACAGCAGAAGGATCAACATCCAATGAGCAGGATCAACATCCAATGCTAAAACATGGAAATACAGAGAGGGTGAGGGTGGCTGCTGAGAGCCTAAAGGGGAGAATTCAACACCCCAGTCCTGGAGACTGGAATTCAGGGGGCTCCTCCGACACGTGACCGCCCTCTTCCACGGCAGCGCCCCACAGCCGACCTTCGTACCCACTGTGTGCGATGTCCCAGGAGATGCACACAATGGCTTGCCAAGAAGACACTTGAAAGTAACTGTGCTGCCCTCTGCTGTTGACAAAGGAGTAGGCATGAAAATAGCAAACACTTCTTTTTTCTTTTTGTTTTAATTAGCTTATTGGGGTGACAGTTGTTAGTAAAGTTACATAGGTTTCAAGTGTACAATTCTGTAATACATCATCAATATATCGCATTGTATGCTCACCACCCAGAGTCAGTTCTCCAAAGAGGACATACAAATGGCCAAACATTTCCACGTAAGCTGTGTCTCCGAGCTGATAATGCAAATGGACAGCTGCCAAGTGCTGCGAACACAGTTTCACTTTGATCGGTAAGTGGCTCAAGACCAACTTTTTCACTGAAATAAATATTTTGACTCATTAACGAGACCAAACCATTCCCTTGGCTTAGTAGAGACAATATAATTAGATTTCTAATTGTCTTGCTGTTGTTTGGCATCTGTGCTTAAATCTAGCTGAAAGGACATGAACAGACATTCCGTGCTTACAGGTACGTTTGCAAATTCTTGTAACGTCAGGGCTAAATGAGTCTTAAAGGTCACACAGAAGCGAATGGATGTCTTAGACGTGACAGCTGTGAGCCACAGGAAGCAGGTGCTGGGAGAAACGTGTTAGGAAGGATTCGGAGGCTCTGTCCAGGCTCAGTGAGAATGAGGGCTACAATTGATTAGTAATGTCTTCCACATGGCAGACATCACCCAGCCATCCTTGGGCAGGTCTGATCCACTCATGTCACAGATGAAGACAGTGAGGCCCAATGAGATTCAATTGCTTGTCAAAGATGTGATCACTGCTTGAAGTTAGGCTGGGTCAAGAATTCAAGCTTCCCTGGGCTGCCGTGAGTCACCAGCGATGGCTAAACTGCAGCCCCTGTGGCAGTGGGTTGCCATGGGCTACCGTGTGTAGCCAGCAGCCAGCGTGAGCGGCCAGCAGCCGCAGTGAGCGGCCGTCCAGAAGCCGGCGACTGATTTGCCTCACCAGGAAGAGCGCAATGATGGTGCCAACTTGGGCCAGTGAAGCCACGTCCTCCACAACTAGACTGAAGAACAAAAAGACAACAACTTGTCTGTTCCCCTTCCCCCAATTCCCCAGTGCTGTTCCCATCCCCCAATTACCCAATAAAAATCCTTAAAAAAAAAAATTCAAGCTTCCTATACTCTGGAACGTTCTTCTTGCCATTAGATGTGAGTTTCTTAGGCGACACCTCCAAGGACAGTGCTCAAGAAATGCCAGCCTCCACTTCAGAAAGTCAGCAGTGATGTTGCTTCTCCGCTCGGCTTCAGATCATTCTTTACCAGCGCCGCCATGCACGTTTCCTCCCTTGGCTAGGCCAGGCACCTTTGTGAAAGGTTAGGCACGGGCCCTGCCCTTCCATCTTACAACGGGTCTTTCTGATGATTTGTTCATAAGAAAATAGATTTTCCCACTGGAGAGTCATTTCCATGGTTACCTATTGATTTCCTATAGAAAGCATCCTGTTTACAAGGCCATTGTGTCTTTATTGTGGAGGGTGAATTACCGTCTGCATTTTCGCTTTGTCTGCGACCTACGACATGGAAAAATGAGCTCAGCAAAATTCCCAGAACAAGATAAATAAATGATTCATGGGAGTTGGTTTTGCATGAATACGTGATTAATCCTCTCTTTCAACCTTGTTAGGAGAGAACGCAGAATTAATGTCATTCCGTGTAAACAGAAGCCCACTTTTCTAAATTCTGACCTAACTGTAGGTATTTGTGAGGCAAAATATATGTGAAATTTCATGCAGTTTAAGAATCAGATAACACTGCTATTGAAAATGAGGAACCAAACTTCCCCTAACTGAGGATGCACACACGTGATATTCTGATTACCCTAAAGGTTCTCTCAGGGCATCCTATATTTTAGCTCCCCAAAGGCAGATGACCTTAGCGTCCAAAACAGGCCTCCCCGTTGCTTCCTAAATAGCCCAGCCCTTGGTTTAAACCTGAGTCCACGTGGCAGCCTCAGCAGCCTGAACTGATTACACTCTCAGAAGCAAAACACCCAGGATACCAGTGTCTTGGCACAGTGCAAAATGAGTGGTCCACTCATTAAACCAGTAGAACACTCAAGAGCCCAAGACAACACCAACAAAATGAAAGCCCCTTAACTCTGGGGCAGAATATCACACTTCCATTCTATACAAATGTGCTTCGGCTCCGTGCTAGAGGTTTGGGTCTCGGCCTCCAAGAACCCTTCACCTGTGGATGGGGACTCTGAACATGAACTCAGGCCAACCAAATAATTCTACAGAAGTCACAAGAGAAGACTACTGGACTGGAAGATGGTGAAAAAAGACGTCTGTGTAGCTAGCGGAAGTGTATTTCGAATGGGGCCCTGGAGAAGTGCTGAGATTTGACTAGGTATAAGTGGAAATGTGCAGTAGCTAATATTTAGTGAGCACTTACTAAGGGCCAGGTGCTCAGCCAAACCTTTTCCACTCAGTACCCTATTTCATCTTCACGACTATCCAAAAGGATAGTGAGCAAGCTATTGTCATCTCCGTTAAGAGGTGAGAAAGCTGAGGTTAAACAACTTGTTTTGAAGAATGGGTAGCAATGACCTCAGTGCAGACCAGTTCCTGGGTCTACAGCTGTAAGTACCCCGTTTCACGCAGAAGGAAGCAAGGAACACAGTGGCAGAGAAACAAATCGCATAGCAAGAGTGGGGCAGAGGGTAAAACACTCATTAAGAGGGAGGTAGCACCAGGAAACCTGCATGACAATAGATTAGAGAGATCTCTGGTAGATAAGACACCAGACCTCCACTCCAGCTGAGAAGGGGCCAATTAATTCAGGTGGCACTGACCTGGGAGGTGGAGGAGGTCTTCATCACCAAAGCACTCCATGCTCATTATCCAGCCTTCCAATTGGTGGCCGGGAAAAGTCATCAGCAAAGAACCGAGATTTGATCATGATGAAGGAGGAAGAAGAGAAGGAGGGAAAGAAATAAACTATCCTCTGATCACTCTCAGACAATAAATCTGTATTTCCGGTGTATATTTTCCTGTCTTCCAGGTTCCCAGTGGAGATAAAACAAAAGGAAGGGCTGATGGGACTAAAAGCAGAAGTTCACTGATGAAAGAAAAGAAGGGAAACTGGGGGCAGGGAACATAGAGAAAGGCTCAGGGGAGACAGAGGACTTTGAAACGTCAGGTTATCTCCCTGCTGAATGAAACACACACAATGGCTCTCCTGACTACCTGGCACCGTTGGTGGCTCCATCAAGTCCCGTGGAGACTGGTGCCCGGGAATAATCATATGACTCTCTCATCAGAAAGGTCACCTGACCAGACCCAGGGCCAGGGCCACATGCATCACTGCTGAGGACAGAGTCGAGGCTCTTCAGCTCAACTGGCACAGGCAGGGCTCATCGAAGAGCTGAAGGGAAGATAACCGTTGTGGGCTGGGAGAAAAACCTACACTTCGGGCATCTTCGGCCTGACTAGATCCATCGACAGTGAACATCAGCCGAGTGAAGCGCTATGTACAGAGACACCAGAAAGGACTGTGGGGTTGGCACTCGGTGCACCGAGCTGATCCTGTGAAACTGTGGTTACAAAACTACAAAAGTTTGGCCAAGGAGAGAGTCCTGAGCTTCGCGGCCTTGTACCTGAAATCACCCTCGGCCTGAAATCTCCGTCCCGCCCTCCTGCAGGAATTGGCTGACTGGCTCTTTTGCTTCATTTATACAACTTGGTGTCTAAATACTACGACCAACGTGAAGTGTGGTTTCTAGAAATTTGTCATGAAGAAATATAAGTATGCGAAGATGCACGCAGAAGGGTGTTCACTGCAGCATTGCCTGAAACAATATAAATATCCACGAGAAGATCATGTTTAAGTAAAGTGTAGTGATGAACTGCCAGCCATCCAATACAAAAATAAATTAGACATGCTAACAAGGAAAGATGTCCAAGACTTAGAAAAAGAAATAGGATGCAAATAATATG